TTCATGCCTGTCATTCACACACACTAATACATTTGGAAAACAGGCACTAAAGCCAACATTTATAACTTTTAAAGTGGTTATTAAAAATGTTTACTCCTTAAATATTTAGGTTAAAGCACTAAACCATCAAATGTATGAGTGTTTACAACTACTAATGTGTGTAACACTATTACTGGGGTAATAAATATAGTAATATTCATATTGAACATTTAATCGGTGTCTGATAACCAGATCCTGAAATGCAACGTGCAGATTTATTGAATAAAGAGCACTAACATTCACATTTAACTGATTTTTATTAATCACATTGGGGTTATTGTGTGTGTGTGTGTATATATATGTGTGTGTGTGTTCAAACAGTAATAACAATATATTGATTGGGTGGGTTTTTGTGTGATCGGGCGGTTTTTAACAGACTTTTAGGCTGGAAAACCTCGACTCTATCTGGCAACACTGGCCATACCTGCAGCTGTCTGTGATCAGAACTTTTCCCACACATTTGAATCAAACGGGCAGGTCTGCCGTGTGTTTTTCTGAACAGTTTTATTTTTACATTGAGCGTTAAAGACAGGTTCTTCCTCTGCTTGTCCATTGTGGCTGCAAAATGCAGTTAAAACTTTCACCCGCTCTGAGAGAGGAATCACCTGCGACTGAAATATTCATCACAAGTTCACCGTACCGTCCAAAACAGCCATACTAAATAATCATGTTATGAAAACACGCACCTCTACACCACATCTGTGACCCGTGCTGCAAAATGAGTCAGAATGATGAGAACAAAATGAAACTACCGTGTTTTTTGGATTATAAGGCGCTTTAAGCGAAACAAAACAGTCAGATAAGTCAAACTTTATTCAACTCATTCATTCATTGTTCAGTTGTAACACATAAAATTGGTTTGAGGGCAGTAAGCACAACCAGAATTAATACACTGTCGATTTTTGAGACAATGAATGGATTTTAAGTGCGCCTTATAGTCCGAAAAATACGGTAGAGTTTTGACGTAAATGCAATTTGCATGAAAACAATTCCATAAAGACACTATTTAGCTATGCCTGGAACTAAAACGGCATGTTATCTTCCTAATCTGTCTTTATATCCACGTTTTCAAACAGGTATGCCTTCAGAAATAATCCTTTGTCCTGTCGGCTGCTGTAGCAATGGGAAATCCCTTCATATAATGTCATTGTTAAGCTTGTGGATTCCCTTCTTTATATATGGGGCAGGAACCGAGTTATCCATTCAAACAAAACTAGCTTATTGCCAGGTGAAAAATCACCAGATTTCAACAAACTTATCATTTTGAAGCAGTAAAGATCGAGAATTATAACAAAATCTAATTCAACATCACAATTAAACAAAATGGTCCGTCAGAAATCAAGACAAGTTGGAACCTGGTTCAAGCTGAACATGTTGCATTGATTGATTGATCACTGTCACAGATCATCTCCAAGTGTTTTAACAGTTGTACTTAATGATAAAACTGGTGAAACTTTTGCAGTGCAGTATCTCGATTATTGCGAGGTTACCGTACAGACACCCCCCCCCCACATTAAGTGAAAAACCGCGAAGTAACAGTATATTTATTTTAGTACTTATATATATATTTTAAGGCTTTAAAAACCCTTCCCACACTCTTAATACGTAATTAACGTAATTTTTACGACATACGTATATGTACTTAATAAGTGTCCTTGGGTGTCATGAAAGGCGCTTTTTAAATAAAATTATTATTATTATTATTATTATTATTACTGCACAGTAGCTACGTACTGCAAACAAAACCACACAATGGTCCTGGTCCAGTCCGAATCTGAATGAAAAAAAGTCCCGGTGAGCTCCGGAGAAAACACCGGACCTCCAAGTAACGCCTCTCCACCCAAGAGGCGTCATCGGCCGGCAAGTAGCACTCAGTTGACCGGCGAGGCTGGAAGTCCGGTTCTGGTCCATTTCCCGGTCAGTTCCATACGGCTCTCTGCATCCACTGAGCGCCGAAGTCACTATGAATAAGGACCGAACTTTTTCGGATCGGATCAAAACTTTCCCTCCATTTCAGCAGAAAGCAGCGGCTGGAAGCACTGTTGGCATCTGGGAAATGCAGTCCTTTTGAGTGGTGATACAGTATAGGCTTATTGAGAGAAAACCGCAAAATGGCAGCACCTGTCCGAAGTTTTTAAAATTTTTGTTAACTCTTTACCATTTCCCGTACTGTCCCAATTACATGAGTAATATTAAATTTGACAGTCGTATGTTGTGTACAATTTTTTTGAGTGCGTATAATCTTACTTTGAAAAACAGCGAAAGAGCGAGTCCGCAAAAATCGAACCGCGAAGTAGCGAGGGACTACTGTATCTAAAATATATATATGTTTTTTCAATTACATGTTTTCCTGACTAAGCTTGATTTTGTATAATATAAAAATGTTTTTCAAGATAATAAAATAGTTAATTTGTGAATTTGAGACAACGTCATCAAAATTAATAACGCAGGTATGTCCTTTCTGGAGTTCCGTACCAAGCACCTCCCGTGCCATTATTTACAATATGCGAGTTTGAGCATTTAGAATAATTTATTTAAAAGTACTCATTGAAAACTAGACAGAAAATTAATTCATAGTAAAGTCTTCACGGTAATTTTCTTGTTTAAAGTCATACTTTTCAACAAGTATCATTTTAGCCTGTTTTAGTTCCTGTAAGTGACTTTACTTTGATTTGAAGTATTATTTGCACCTCAGAGTCTCATGTCAAGTTTTCTGCTGTAGACAAAAAGAAGAAGTTTATAAAATAATTATAATAAAAGTTGGCGTCCACCTCGGTGTGTAGCAGCCGTATCTTTCCTGCCTCCACAGAATAATTCAGGGACTGTAAATGTTTGGACAGAGAGCCGTCGCTTTAGGGGAAGTAACCCGAGGCGCCCCCCCCCCTCCACATGTAGCATCTGCTCTTCTCCTCCTTCGCTGTTGGCTGCCTCCCTCTTCCCCTGCCGCCCCCTCTGGTGGCGGGGCTCATATCAAATTATGCTGCTCTTCGTCTCAGCACCCCCGGTTTCTGCTACATATGCCACCTGTTTACCAGGACTCCCACAGCCGGCCCTTTAATCAGCCATGCACCTCCTTTGGCCCCCACACGTCTGTTTCTCCTGAAACAAGTGCCTGCTGTGGCGGTTTACTCACCGCTGTCCCTCCTGGAGTCTGATGTGTTGCATTGCTGGGCACCGTGGCCTCTGTCCATCATCAGACGCAGGCCAGCCATCGCTGACAGATCCCTCTTTGGAGACCGTTGTAAAGGTTCAGGCAGCCGTTACCTTAGCTCTACGCGCCGGCTCCTAATTCAGATGCAATTAGGTTGGGTTTTCCAAACCCTTTATCCCTTTACGGTGCATGTTCAAAAGGTCATTGTTGTATGTATGGATCCTTTATTTAACCAGGAAAATAACTCATTGAGATAAAAAACCTCTTTTCCAAGAGTGACCTGACCAAGTCGGCAACATAAAACATACACCAAATCCAAAATACTAAACTAAATACACAAAATGCATATCCAGGAGAAATCACAATAATTACACTTTAGAACAGTTACAGGAGCCAAGTGATCTGAGCTCTTGTTTGTATATTAAATTGCCTTACATTAATCATTTGGAATATCATTTGTGTAAAAGAAGAGAAAATGTTTCATAATAATTAGTGGAACTTTTTGCTTATAATCACAACCCAAAGGTTCTTTGTTAAAAAGTTTCATCTTTTATCCAAAATACGTCTTCAGTCTGAGGAGCTGCAACAAACTCAGTCTTATAAATAACACCTTCTCATAGTGGATCAACCAGTTTGTTGTTGACAACCGGCACTAATGGTACTAATGGAAAAGAGGCATACCTTGTAAGCACAATAAGCATTTGTAAACCTACTTTTTTTTTTTTTGTCAAAAACTTCCATGTTCAATAATCCAGGTATACAATCCCAACAATTTTCAGTCAGGTCATCTGGACAGTTTCTTTTTTTGCTGAAACCTTTCACCTTCCATCCAGAAGTCTTCATCAGTCAAGGAAACACACAACACAAAACTGATTCTTCCCCCAAACAGCTTACTCCAAAGTGGAACAAACCAGTGATGTTGGTGCTAAGATGGTGTCTTTGGTACGCCCCCTCCTCTGTTGCCTCCTCTACCTTTTTAGCATATACCGTATTTGGGGGAGGGGGGGGGGGGGACACTGGTGGTGGTTCTGGGGGTCATCCCCCAGAAAACTTTGAATAAAGTAGATCCTGCATTCTGGTGTATTTTAACTGGTTTTTAAACATCTACGATTACCTACATTATTTGAATAATGATTGAATGAATTAGTAAACACTTGATTCAGTAACCATTTTAAAAACTCATACGAGCTGAACCCGCCCACTAGAACATTTACTGAAAGTATCATGGAAACACAACTCATACCGTGCCGAACCGAGCTGTACTGTTGCTAATGGAAAAGGGCCATTAGTCTGAAATGTTTAATATAACAACTGTAGATGACGTGTATATAGGTGAACAAATTTGGCTCACTATTTGGCAAGAAGCTGGTCAGTTTTGTCTCTGTCACCCTTAATTAATGCATAATAAGCAGCCTTCTCTTACTCCGCTCCTGTTTCCTGGAATATCTTGCAAAAAGATCTGAAGCTTTCAACCTTGACCTCTCTAAGTGGTTTTAAGAATCTGCTGGACTCCTGGCAAAGACCAATGCAGACATGTTCCTGTTTTTAGTTTTCTACATTCACCTTAGAATCTAGCTGTTTTTGCTACTTTTTTTGCCATCTTATTTTAATTTGTGGGGAGAGGTGGCGCAGAAGTTAGAAGATGGGCTTGTGATCGGAAAGTCTCTGGCTCACCTCCCGGCGGTGTTGCCAGGTGAGAAATGTAGGGTTATCGTACTAGAGCCATAAAATGATTGTAATTTGAGGGAAATTATCGTACACCCGTCATAACCAAAATAACAAATCTATTAATGCACAAGTATATTAATAAAGTAGTGATGGGTCCGCTTCCAGACCGGCTCTGCTGCTTCTTCTTTTCTTTTTTCCTTTTCCTCACTCATGGGGCGCAGCGGATTATTCATCCAATCATGGCCGTTGTTCTGAGGCAAACGCGTCACTCGTAGGTCACATTTCGAAAAGCACGATTGACTGGAATTTCCAGCCAATCGTGCATCTGTTTGCGGACACAGATGCCTTCAGGGTTCACAAAAAAAAACTCCGACAGACAGTTGCGACAGGCTGATGACAACCGATTACAACCACACATTCACGGAATGGTCAAATGATCGTATATTTGGCCTTTTTTTGGGATTCTCTGATCGCAAAATTGTCGTACAAATACGATAATTATCGTACACCTGGCAACACCGCCTCCCGGTACCGTCGACATCAAAATGTGGGTGGAAAAGGTGAAACACCCACACCTCATTGGCCCCACTCTGGGCCCCTGAGCAAGGCCCTTAACCCCCACCATCTGCTCCCTAAACAGGTCTCTCTTGAAAATGAGTCCTCGTGGCTCAATGAGACTACCTGGATAAATAAAGGGTAAATGAAAATGAAAAATAAATTTGTAAAAAATAAAAAACTGTATGCCTCTTTTATAATTGTCTATTGTTGTCGCTGTTGTCCATTGTTGTTATCATTCTTTGTTGAAATCAGGTCTTTCTTGTAAATGAGTCCTCGAGGCTCAATGGGATTAATGTCTAAATAAAGGTTGAATGAATGAAAAAGTTAATGATTTATAAAGTGTTTATAGAAGAATTAATAACATATTTATAAACTGTTTATTATCCATCTATAAGAGAAGTATATAAGTGGTACAAAAAAAAAAAAAAAAAATTAATTTCCGCGCCCAGCATCTTCGAACAAGACAAAAGAAACGTGCTTGTGCCAGGCAGCCAATCAGACTCTGCCATGTTGGGCCAGTCCAGCCAATCAGAGCGCTCCGCCTGCGGAGGACGAACTCTGCGCTGGTGTGGAGGAGAGGAACAATGAGGCGGCTGTCGCGCTCATCCTCCGCTGCGTCTCGGTGGGAGGAAAACACGACGAGCCGTCGCTGGAGGCTTCTTCAGGCTCGGCCTGAACGCGCCTGCCCGCCGCCGGTGAGTCGCCCTCCTCCTGGCCGCGTGAACTCCGGGGAAAGGGAGGGGGGGTTAACGGAGAAGCGACTGAATACACGAAACAACGGAAGGCTCCCAGTGTCCCGCACGTGAGGGCAGTTGGAGCTGTTCTCCTCTTCACCGCCACCCCCACGTCGCTTTGCATATTTAACTTCCGGCTTCTTCTTCTTCTTTTTTTTTTCTTCGCCGGTCCCCATCAGCTGGGCGAGCAGCTGATTAAATGACAGGAGGATACAGTATCACCATGAAGAGCTGACTGGGAAAAAAAAAAAAAAAAACTTCAGTCGGGGAGGAGGCCGGTCGGAGAAGGAAGGAGACACGGACGGAGGAAGAAGAAGTGGAATATTCCTGTTCGTTCACATTTTTCCTGCTTTGGGATTTGCTACGTTTTGTGGAAAAACACCGTCTGTTAGTTTCAGCTCCCGAATATCCGCAGGTTTAAAAAAAAAGGACGGGTTTTTGTTTTTGGACAGAGAATTCCTCCGGAGTCGTCTTTTTATATTTTTATTTTTAGCACACATTTAAAACAAACAAAAAAAAAGAAATTAAACATGGGGTTGTCTCCTGTAGCCCCCATTCTCTCTGAAACCATTAGAAGCTGCTAGACTTGAGCTTCTCGAAGCACTTTCGCCTAAAAATGAACTGATGTTTTGTAACACGCAGGTGGCTCCCTTTTTAAGACAACCGTGTGTTTTCATGTGTTTTTAGGTTGACAACTGCTGACATATTTTTTTAAGGACCCCCCCTTCCCCTCCTCCTATCCCACCGCCTCCCAGAGTTGAGCCCCCCCTCAGTCTAGGCAGCACACAGGTTCCCTCAGTCTCGTCTCCTTTCCACCATGAGTTACATGGTCGTGGTGAATGTATTGCTCCGTGGACTCGTCATCTATGCGGTACTGGGCTTGGAGTGCACTTACATGAGCGACCTGCCGAGCCACTCTGATGCTGCCAATGTAGCCACAACAGGTAAGAGACCCCCCCCCGCCTCCACAACCCTAACCCCATGCTTCTCGTCTTTTCCTGCATGTACAGGATGCAGGATTCACCCCCCACCCTCCTTCCCGCCTCAGGTCCTCGGTGTCCCCTGTGGTTTTCCCGGGGAAAGCCGAGGAAAGCCCTGCGCAGTGATGGAGACTGATGCAACCGCCTCCCCTCCCCTCCCCTACATCCTTGTACCCTTTTCTTTCTCCTGTACATAGCAGAGGAATGCTTGACATGACGGGAACGCCGGCTGCATCCTCTTCTGAAGGAGTGTTTGTCAGAATGTCGTAGACGAGCTCTTGGTTGCGCCAGACTAAAGTAATGCCCTCTGTTTACCTCCGCTCAGAGCTTAAAGCCTCAGGTGAAACATCTTCATGCTTTCCCGTAACCGTAGCATCGATAAAGAACAAGGGCAGGATCTCCGTCTGTTTGCATGTTTACATCCATCGCACTCACCTGAACGTCACTTCTGTGTTGCCGTCACTGACAGGGTTAAATACGGGCGTCCACACCATGTAAAGCACTTTAAACAAACGCAGGCGCAAAAGCGCCGTTCGTTTACAACTAAGGAAACAGACCAGCAGCGTATCACCGTGTCTACAATGCACGAGCCGTGCGGGCGGATCAGAGGTCAGTTGGAGGTAAAGTCCAGGCTCCTAATGTCTTCCTGAAAAACAGCCAACATTAGCGCTACCGTTGGCTGTTGTTTTGACCATGTAAAAATGCGAGTCATTGAAGAAACCCACAGCAGGTGGTTTCTTTTTTACCCACAAAAGCATAGGTATATACTGTAGGTATGTATATACCGTAGGTATATCTGTATACAGGGACGGGTGTATCCCATATAACAGGTCTCTCTTGTAAATGAGTCCTCACGACTCAGTGAGATTAACCTTTATACATAAAGGTTGAATGAAAAATATATATAGTGACCAAAAGTAAGATTTAACCTAGAGTAAGTACACGTAAGTAAGACCGGGTAAGGGGTCGGTCAGACGTTCAGCTTCGCTACTAATGTCCGGGAGAAACACTGAAAATATTCTCTCTCGTTTGTTTTTCATGAACTTTCTGACCACAAATGGCAGCAGATATTTAAGATTCATCTGCTCGTAGAGGCCATGGTGGTGCGTGTTATTTCTCCGATTTTGTTTTATAAGCGACACGGTCGGGTGTTATAAGTTCACAATGCACCTTCAGTTTTCCAATCTTATTTGATTGAAAAACATACCCTTGAACGATATCCTTAGAAACAATGCAAACTTGTTTTAACTGGCCATGAGGTAGTGCTCTGAAATCTAAATTAGGTTCAGACAATTGTTAAAACTAAAAAAAAAAAAAAATGTAAGTATCGGACGATTTCTGATTTCCCAAAATTAAGGAAATCGGGGCCGATTTATTGGTGCACCCCTATTAATAACTGAGATGGCTAAATAAGTTCATAATGTACCGTGCGGGATAAATATTTAATCTAGAAGTTTTGGATAAATAACATAAATTTGTCAACAGAACACACAAATAAGACACATTTATATCTATATTGCAAAACTAACCAGGTGTGTTCTTAAGGTAGACATTTCCTAAAATATGCAGGAACCAGATGAGAAATTTGCTCCAACAATGCAAAGACTGCACCAGGATGTCAACATAACCGACATATTTCAATAAAATACTGCTCACCACCAAGGTGACTCTTGAGTACCTTCAGTAATTGGTCATAAATTTAGTTAAATAACTATCAAACCTACAGGCCCATAATAATTATTTTTTTTGTCCCCTATAGCAGAGCAAAAAGGGGGAATTGGAAATACCCTCTGTATAACCTGAAAAATATGTGGGGTACTAACTTCCATTTTGGTGTGTGGCTGCATCTAGGCATAAGAAAGGGTACTTTTGGATATTAGCTTGCCACCGCAAAATCCAAGATGGTTGTCACTATATATGTAAACCGGCCACCCCAATCGTTTGAGGAAACAATACTTTTAATCAATCAGTGTATAAAACTAGAATGCAGTTTCCTCAAATGATTTGGGGGCGAAGATAAGAAGCAGGTAAAGATAATGGGTGGATGAATGGATTAATCTATGGTGGCCAAGGCCACCATTGGCCACCCCTTGGCGCCACCACTGCGCCACTTCTACACAGTGTTAACTCCTACCCACTTGAATTTCTTGTGCCAAAAACATTCAGGTTTACTTGTATTTCCTGTTTAATTCCAGTCCACAAAAACTTGACTCAACTTAAAAACTACAAACATTCACTATTCAAACTTCTCAGCGACGGGGGGGACATCAGTGTACAGCTTGTTAAGAAAAAGCACCTGCCTCGGGTCCTTTTGGACCCTCCTTAGCAGTTGTCTTAAGGGAGATAATTTAATCTACAGGATTATTATTAGTATCTTTTTGTAGTTTGAGAGTAATCCCTAACTTTAACCTTTGACACTTTCCCCAGACACGAATCTGAACCTCTGACTCTTTCAGACAAACTTCACAAGTTCCATCCAAATTGAATTAAAGAAAGTCCCTGTCAGTCCAGGTATAATCTGTTTTATTTCAATATGTTGACCATAAGGAACAAAAAAATATCTTAATAACATCGCAATTCCTTTATATACAGTATATAGGTAACATTTAAGATTAATTTGTTTTCCTTGTCCTGGTGAAGTGTTATAGGAGCCCGACTTTATTGTTTAGTTCTTTAACTCACCAGGATATGTCAATAATTTTTAAAAGTGTAATTTTTTATAGACTTTTGTCTTATTTTAAACTCATTTTAGGTCTAATGTTCATACGGTTTACAGCGTACAGTTGTTCTTTAATCCTCTCGACACTGATCTATTTTTCATTCAGGCATAAAAAAGGGCTCCTAAACTTGTGTCATGGACAGTTGTGTCATCGCAAAAGCCAACAAACCAAGTTTAGTTGCCATCAGTTTAAATCGGATGTTTATCTACTTCATCGTATTTCCACCAGCGTGGTGCAGAAGTACAAATATGGCTGACAGATGGAAGGTTTTTGGTATTTGTACTAATGCGTCCTCTACAACTCTGTTGACTTTGTTGTGTGAGGGGACTCCTTAAGTGAGCATTGATCACAACCTAAAACTTACTCGTCTGCCTCCTTGTCGGAGGCTGTTTCTCATCTGGCATCTGTTGCTAGGTAACCAGTGGAAAGTGAAAAGTTGTTCCTGGTCAACAAAACGACTCGACATAACAACTCTATAGAGAAGGATCATTTTGGATTTTGTGCTACAGTTTTGTACAAACTGAAACAATTGAACCAAACATGTTGAATAACGAGCTATAGATGGGCTGGTGGAACGCTGGTTACCAAGCTCCGCAAATATAAACTCATTGTTTTTGAGCAACGAGTTGGTGTGTAATTATGAGTACTGGTAATTATTGCCCAACGTCAAAAATTGGACAATATTTTCAAGCCAAGTCAAAGTTATATATTGTCATTCACATCACATGTGGTACATGAGGTGGAACGAAATTGTGTACGCAGGGTCCCAGTTACATCCAACAATGGCAAAATTATGAAGTGTAAAAGGAAACGGTAAATAAGGATGTAAGATATACGCTAAACTGCCAAACAGTACGCTAAAAGATATAGGCTAAACACTAATAGTGCCAAACAATACACCAAACAACAGCAGCACGAGCATGAGTCTTTGTGGGAGGGTGAGTACGAACGAATGAATACAGCAGCATGAGATCAGCAGCATGGATAATCAGCAGCACGTATCAACTATCAAAGTGGCATTACAGTGATTTTTTCACAGTTATTATCCTGTTTAGGGATTTATGAGTCTTAACAGCTCCAGGGCAGAAGCTGTTCCTCTGTGTAGTCGTTCTACGCTTAATGCTTCGCAACCTTCCCTTCATTCCCTCTGTGTGTTTTCTGTTAGCAAAATAGCACATCAGTGAACAGATTCAAATGAAACTCTTAGAAATTACGATCTTATCTACAACTGATGAGCTTTTAGAGTCAACGTGATTCAAGATGACCGCCACATCGGGTCATCCACCAAAAAAATAGCTAAAATCCGTAATCTGAGCTAAAATTAGGCATGGTAGTAGCTGAGACTCCTCTCCATCAGATAGTCCAAGTTTTAAGAGGTTGATTTTAGTTTAAATCTTGGGCATTAAAGTAGTCCCATAACTATCGCAGGGGTTAAATTCCAGACATCCCCGCGATAGGTGGAAAACTGCGACGTCGGAACGCAATATTTATTGTAGTATTTATATTTTAAGGGTTTATAAACCCTTCCCACGCCCATGCAATGTTCTTAACAATCAAAGTCCATGCTCAGTAATCCAGGTAGAAAATCCAACCAAGTTCAGTCAGGTCATCTTGGATGTTTTTTTTTTTTTTTTGTTTTTGTTGAGACGTTTCATCCAAGGGACTTCATCAGACCAAGGAGCCACAAAAAACTGAGTCCCACAAGCAGTAAACCCACACATATTGGACCAACCAGTTTGCTGGTGATAAGATAGTTTTACGATGATGGTGATAAGGACGAAACGTCTCGACAAAACAAACCAAAAAAAAAAAAAAGTGCAGATGACTGAACTTTGTTGGGTTCTTAACATTGTTCTAAACTCTTGAACCTACGTAATTTTAACAACATACCTATATGTACGGTGCAGTACTGCAAAATGTGTTTATGGGTACTCACCAGTGAAGATACAACTTGAAGGATGAGTTCAGCTTCAAGATTATTTGCGACTTTCTTGTCAGTTCTGTGATCTTAATAGACCGATCGTTACTTCTGACTTTGTGTTGCACAGTAGCCCGTAGCACTGTTGGCTTCTGGGCCGTGTAGTTCTTTTGACTTGCGTTACAGTGTAGGCTTATTGAAAGAAAACTACAAAATTGCGGCGCCCTTCCGAAATGCATTTGGTTTGTTTTCGCTGCTAGTGTTTGTTACCTCCATTGCTGTTCTATGAATTTAGGCAGAAAGCAGCAGCCGGAAGCACTGTTGGC